ACCTGATAACAGAAGTAAGACTGCGCAAACAATTATACTTATCTTAAATGTTTTAGATAATTTGCTTTTTTACCTGGAACCTGCTGTGGTTTTTAAATAAATAAAGAGCTGTATGAAGAAATAAAAACTATTTGAAACAAAGTTATTAGATAACTCGAAGCTTCATTTAAAACGGTATCAAATAATTGTTGCAATGAGCACATCCGAAATATTTACATGTTTTTATTTTCAGTTTTGCTTCGCGAGAAATCATGCTTAAAAATGAACAATTTGGAATCATTTATCTTCTTAAGAATTATAAAAGTTTAAGCCCTTTTAAACTTTTCAAAGGTTTTGATAAGTAGAATTTTAGACCTTTTATTGAAAAGAACCTATAATGATGAATCTATTCCTGGTGTATCACTTACTTGAAATAGCACTGTCTGTTCTTTCCACCTTGAGAAAAGGGTTCAAGAGTTTGTCAATAAAGAATGCATGTGTGTGCATATTGCATGCATGCTGAATGTGCGTTTTGATGTCAATGGGTGCAAATTGAAAGGCATGATCATTGGCTTACCCCATTTTTCTATTCATAAGTGGTTCCGTTACGTTTTGTGCAAAATTTTAACCTGTAAATAAATATTGGATACATTTTAGGAACGCAGTCAATACTTCAAAGTTTGTTTAAAAATAACGGAATGTCAACAACCATTGCGAAAATCTGCTTTTGATCTACAATAAATAATTGTGACATATCTTCTTTATTTGTATCCGTTTCTTTTTCACCTCTCCTTTTCAGTAACAATCATCTTACCCCTTTCATCAGTTTAAAAGGTAAAAAGATGTTCATAAACAAATGTGCATTAGCTGTATATAAAAATATGATATACATGTAACATTAAGCACAGATAAAAACTTCACAATAGTGTTTGACAATGTTTATTTTTTCATGGAGAGAAAATAAAAATCTGGAAATAAGTGATCTCTTGGAAGCATTAATAACAACAAAATTACATGAAATTGATTGAGTATGTACATGAGGGCTAATGAAAAAGTGCAACACCCCACACACCCTCTAGCACCGGCTTCAGCGGTACTAAATTTTCCACGCTTGAAGTGATGGAACCAATGGTCCCGAAGGACCAGAAAACTATAACAACACATCTGTTACACAAAAGAAACTTGAAATACCTTCGCCTTTTTGGATGATAAATTTAATATATTTTACTTATTTTCTTATTAACATAATAACCATTGCATATATATAGATTTGGCTTTACAAGATAAGATTAACCTTTACATACTGTGAATTATACATGTACTTAAAACCGAAGAGGAGAAAGCAGTTTTTCATACTATGTCAATATTGTGTATCAATGTTTTGATGATGGTAAAACATTGTCTTCCTGCAATGCAGAACCAATTACATGTGTATTTTTAAAATTGGTTAAGTCGATTTTTTTTAATGGTTAGCATGTAGATAATAACATAGTGAGATTGTGTAGGACTAATTACTTATTAAACGTGATATGTTGTTATATGTTTATATTTGCATTCTGTCCGGCAACAATCAAGATTTCAAAATATTGGCATGAAATTCAACAAATCAAATATATCACTTTTTCAAAAAAACCCACAAGCATCAGTAAGTAAATAGTAAATTATTTCATCTGAATATTTGTATAAAAAGCCAGTTCAATGCTACCATTTCCTAGAATATAATCTACATAATGATAAAACATTCACTGTTATACATTGCACAATTCAATGGTGATAATAATTTAGTACAAACACATGCGATGTGTTTTGCGAAATACAGGTCAATCAATATTTTTTACAACTTTAAGACCATTTTATACATACTTTCCTTATCAAAGCATACGAAATGCAATAAGTTTATTGAAAAACATCTCACTTTTATTTAATATTTTTATCAACTTAATTACATTGAATATGAAATGACAAGTATGCTTTAAACAAACTATTACTAAAATATTAATGACCATGCTGAGAATCAATGGTGTTTACCTTTCAGTGGCTTATTAACGCAACAAACATTGGTGTGAATGCGAAATATAAAATTTAGATGTATAAAACAATTAACTGCTGTAATACGAGGCTCTATTCAGCAACATAATAAACTATATCGATTTTATATAAGTTACTAAGATATAAAAGCTAGTTATAAGTTGATATCAATGAAATTGATTTTAGTTTAATGAAATCCCTAATAACAATGACATTATCCTATCAAAGAGTTATGTAATAGATTATAAAAATGATTTGTTGCTGATAAAACTTACCGACATTACATGTTCATATTCAATATGACATTATAATTTATGTTGAAATTTCATTTGCCACCGAAAATATTGTTTGTCATATTTGTCAAAAGGCTAAGTGTGTGTTTGTGTGTGTGGCGGAGGGGGGGGGGGTGGCGCTTTGTTATATTTTCCCAAACGGTACTCATTTGAAATACAGCTAATCAATATTTTGCATTTTAGCCATTATCTGAGTTATATTCTTTATGGAGGAGAGACTTAGTATCACTTTGTTACGTTTCGACACTTTAACACAAGTTGTTGATTTTTTATTCAACGCTGATACATGATAAGTATCTAACATGCTCTAAATCCATTACAAAAAATAATAAATGACCTTAGAGCATATATTGTACATTTATTCACTTCTGAGGCTTAGTATGCCTTGATAGCAATCGTATTTAAATAATCCATATACTATGTAAAATTAATAACGTATTCAGTATTATAATATATGATATGAAAATGTGTACATATAAGATAAAATTCAAAGGTCAAACTCGTGGAATTTATAGTCTAGAGTTAGCAAATTTAGTTATAGATATCCTGAATGGACTCTTTATTGTGTTAGATACCTAGTTTAATCAAAATGAAAACTTTTATTAAGAATAAGATGCTTAAAGTATTTCTAGTTTATCTTATTTTAACAAAATAATACGTATGGAAAAGGAATAAAGGCAATGTCTTAATAGTTAAGTCGATACCCATTCTTAACCCAAGTTCGAACTCATCTTGGTTCCTCATATGATACTTGATTGTTCAACTTGTCTAGATAATATTATTTCATATAGTATATTTTGTAATTTTATGAAAAGCTTGCCTAATTTTAAACAATATTCTTATATTTTGTTTCCAGTGCTAGAAGTATATTGTTGAAAGTAAGCTTTATATGAAAGGCTATTGTGCTTTTAATTCGGCATTAAGAATAATTTGATACAATACAAATCTATTGTCTATATTTTAATTTTAAAAACCATAGTATCATTATTAAATTGAGTCAGTTCGTAAGTTGTAACGGTATAAAGCAAGCCTTATATTAGGTAAAATTCACATTGAACATCTTATTGTAATGCTATTTTATTGCAATTTCTAAATGCCACTGTTCCAGGAGAAATCATACTGCTTACTGTTTGATTACTGAATGTTTCCATTCACATTGCGAAACGGAAAACCCAATATCGTTCTGTACCACCTTGAATTACATGATTTTTTACATACATGAAATATGCTTTTATTTACATCATCAATTACAGTTATAACCAAAAGAGCATTGATTAATGCACGCAAAGCTGTCAGACATAAACATGTTATATATGAGAGAGAGAAAGAATATCACCTACAGTTGCATGATATTCGCATCAATACTGTCTCTTAAATGAAGATAAATTACAGTTTTTCCGACAACTGCTGTGTTCATGTCGATATTGTTTTTAAACTGCCAATATTATCAGGCAATGCCAATACCTTTAATAATGAACAGAAATTGCGTGTTAATTTGAAGCAGGGAGTTATTTGTATGTGTACAGTAGCCGATTAAACAGCTGTATAGGTGGATCGATATTATCAAAATGAGATGATTACGTCAGTTACAAATGATAAAATTATGAAACAATCCACATCATTTTTGTAGTTAATATGATTTCAAAATCAAGAAAACTATTGGTATCATTTTCTTTGTCCATCTATATAATTTTTGTCGTACCTTTTCGCCCATTAAAAAAGGCAATTTGAAATTTTCTGACTATTTAAGAATAAATGAATTCACTTGTTTCAGTAAACGTAAATGTGAATATTAAACAGTTTAATTTTTAACATATTTATAGCAAATGTGCTCACATTTCAACTAATGGTAATGTGCATTTTATGTTTGTTTCTACTGAACAATATTATGAAAACAAGAACAAATAGATAGATTTCAAGCTGAGACTTCGGTTTGTTTAACATAACATTATCATTGTCTTTTTGCATCAAATTGTCCAGTATAGAGCATAGCCTCTCAGTTTCAATTACACCTTAAAACTGACTGCGATATCCATTTACCATAAAAGCACCTCTACGATTACTACAGCATACAATAGTTCAGATTTTTATTGTAGTTTTCCAGACTAATTCGTTCTTTTAATCATTTACAGCACGCAATTACAATGCTTAACGGCAAAATACTATAAAATGTTGAATGTTATAAAGCAACTAAGGACTTCTCTCTATCGTTTTAGTTGTTCCATGTTTGATGCAATAAAAATCCGGAATTCAATTCACAGCAGTGTATTTTATGTAAATCAAATTTTGTAAAGAACGTATTATGCATGTATAAAATAGAAATTTTTATCAATTTGTTTTCGATTTATGTTAACCAGCACGAACGCTTGGGCGAAATACAGTTCATGTCAATTTATAGATAAACATGTATTTTGTTAATAAACGTCTCTCGAACAGTACATACAAAAATTCCTTATCAATTACATATTTCACACACACACGTCAAGTGCCATATATATCAAAATTTACACCATAATTTATATAAATGCATAGCTTACAAATGAAAATTTGCCACATTAAAAGAAAACTTTTCAAAAAAAAAAACAACAAAAAAAGCAAAAACAAAAAAATAAAAACAACGTATTTATCACTTTATGAAATAGTGTGGAATATTTTCTACATCAAGTTTATGTTAACAAGGATAACATTGTATAGTCTTACCTTCAGCTAATAAGAGTAGCCCGTTTATTGCCCACAAAACGGAGCATAGTTTTTCTAAAGACAGTACTGGAAATCGTATCGTGTCTTTGACGTGCATAGCGCTCCCCCATCTCTCAGTTTGGGCGTGGAGTCAAACTCATCGCTTTTTCAACTATAATAAAGAAATGAAAAACAAAAATGACATATGTTGTTTAACAATGACCACAAGTGTTGTACGGCGCTTTCGTATAAATTATAATTATCAACATCATAGTATCATTGTTAAGATTAGAAGAAATATTTAATACTTTGTATGACATTATATAGAAATGTTAAGATGATAACCATATTTTCTAGGACAAAGGTTCAGTAATATCAATGTACTAAACAGATGATGTTTTTATTTCTTTTTTGAGCTAAAGATTATTGACGGTTTCCCTTGAACGTTTTAAACATGTGACTGACATTATTTGATAAACTTAGCAATTCCCTGGGCTTTCTTATAAACAAATGAAGTTATACGGGACGCTGTCACTCGAGGCTATATTGATTTCCTTACCTAGAACATTTGTACTTGCTTAAACTCGTAAATGTTTAGGACTTTTGACAGATCATAACATTTATTAATGGATCGACATAAAATAATGTATACAAATACTAGAACATTAGAGAAAATATATTTTTCTTTCAAGGAATTAACTGTCAAATTATATCTCTGATTACAGCACTAATGAACAAACAGTTCATCACAATTTTATTACACACACAATCCTAGTGATACGTTACGATAAGAATTTGTTGTATGTTTCAAAGCTATACAGAATATAGAATGAATGCCACAAAAACTAAATGTACATATTATCAATTAATAATCGATAGCTTATTTCATAACAAGCTAAAATACTACGAATAAAAATATTCACCAAATATTTACGTTTATCCGCTATCTACTTCCATTGAACAATCGATAGATTTTGCGTAATTTTGTGAATGATAAAACCTAATGATAACAGGAAAACTTATAACCCAGCAACATCAACGACAACGACAACAAAAACACAAACATTTGCAATAACACTTTTCAAAGAAACACGGGTTCAACGTGCTTAAAGCTACTGGCACTGTGATTATTCCAATATTCAAATTGATTCACTGTATCAATTCCGTATGGCCGTTTCCTCGTAAGTGATAGCTGTTTTTCAGTCATATAATGTCGCTGTTGGTACAAAAGTTGGTACAATTTCATCAGAATATATGTTTCAGCAAATGTTATTTTTCTTCAATGTATTTCTACCTCAGTAAAATCAACAAAAATGTAAACCAAAATAATAATAAAAGTAAGACAATCTGAAGAAATAATTAAAAATAATAACAGCACCTGGTAGTTAACTGATTTTGACGTTTCTGAAAGATTGATAATTCAATAAGCGCCACAATATATTTAAACAGCTGGAAGGTTTTTCAGTATTCAGTACACTTTTACACGAAGTAGCCATTTAAGAGCTCTATCACTAGTGAATATCTCTCGGTTTCTTTACTTCACTTATATATAATTTATTGCTATTGTAAATTGTAATTGTAAACTGTATAAAGGTAAATGATAACATTTCCATATTCCTCTCTTAGAGTTAAGTCACCATCAAATAAGTATTTCAGGAACTAAATGGAATGTTAAAAATAGAACATAGATTAAAACGTTTGTGGCCAGCCGTGGAACATATAGAAAACTCTTTAACTCGATATCAAACAACAGAAAAAAAAAATATAATAAATTTACTACCAGCACAATCACCCTTCATTCTCTTTAACGAACTATTGGCGTTCGTTGGTTATTTGTACTTAATGGTATTGACTTCTAACTACACTAGCTTAACGTTGATACATGATATTAATGCATTTTCCTGGTAAGAGATATCTAGTTCTTAATTGAGTAAAAGAATGTTTACATTGAGGGGATGTAAGCTATATTTATGAGAATAGTTTTTGTAATTGATGAAATAATAAAACATCAGAATAGTCAATGCCTTGTGAAATTTGAAATAGTTTGTTATTTTGCTCAGTTATTTCTTTAAACTAAATAAAACAAGGGAAAACATCTTGTGAAGGGAAATTCTTCAAGAGCAATGATAAAAACCGAAAGAGCAGTTCAAAATTGCCAACCTGGTTTTATCTTGAAAACTCTTTTACCTACTCTGACTGTATTTGATCTTGTACAAGATCTGTCTTATGGAAATACATACATGTGCGCATATAAAGATGCTCTAGCAGAAAGTTATATTAATCATTAAAGAAGCCGTTAAATACAAGAATATTGTTCAAAGTGGTGTTTGATGGCGACTATATAACATTTATGTAAGCTAGAAAAACACAAACCTAATCTACTCCAAGCACATACCTGGTAGAAGGTACATTTGATTAATTTCCATGTTTTATAATGAGATAGCAAGACTAGATAGAGTCTGCGATCATATAGATATAACTGATCAGAATATCAAAGTTCAAATTGATAAACATACAAGTTTAAGCCTTAATCAGCCAGGATTCATAGGCTCGTGCTTAATGCATTTTCCAATTAAGAGTTTTCTAGAGATATTAATAGATAGCGAATATCTCACAATATCAGGACGCCACTCATAATGTCTGGCAATATGTAAATTGGCTTTGAATAAAAAAGAGAGAGAAGAATTTACGTAACGAGTATAAAACACTTTATTACATTAACTCAGATTAATTTTATATACAATTGTACATTTTAATAGGTACTGCTTTTGTACCACCAAAAATGCTTACATGGTTTTTCAAGAAAGTAAATTCATCTAGGAATGACACCCCAATCCAATTAAAACCACAAAGCATTCTTTCACTTTATTTATTTGATATTTCAGTTACAAACTCCAAGTAGTTAAAGGTTTCAATCTGTGTATAGCTTCTGATTATATGGTAGTAAAATCATCGAAATAAAACACACATTTAACTAAATCGCTTTCTTTTTAAATACAAAATAAAACAGTTTCCAATGTCTACCTTAATCTCGCAAATTAGGATTTTTTTTTTATCAGAATAAGAATAATGTCTGCACTTAATGCAGTCTCCGACTAATTACGTGTGCAGACTTTTCAAGAGTTAATTATTTTACAAGTTATGACGTATAAAAATGTGTTCAAACAATCAATCATTTTAGCTAATTAAAAACTTGCTCACCTCCCACATATTTCTATTTAATGTTTAAGAATATGTGTTTATTGCTAAAAGCGTGTTAGCATTTACCTCTAAATCTTTGGGTAAAAAACAACAAATAGTAGATAATTTAGTTAGCTATATAATTCGGATTTTCTGGTTGCATAGTTGTTTCGATTGTATATTATATCATGATGTAAGTATATATGGTTGTTTATTACGACTAACATAGTTTTGTTACAATGACTTTTAACCATATGAATAATTTGTATAATGTCTACGTCATTCATACGGTACGCCATTAAAGCCTTTTTAAATTGTGTCTTCTATATATTTATGAATATTAAACTGTCAAAGCATTGAAATGCATAAATCGAGAAGTGAATAACTTCTTTTTATGATGAGAGTTTTTTGTGACAATCAATGATTTCCATTATTGGTAATTTTTATGACTTGAACAACTATCTGTGTCTCTAATGTTTTCAGTGACAACAAATATGAACATTTGGAGGAAATAAAAGAGATGAACAAATTTTTAAAAATCTAATTGCTCCATTGTTAACATTTGTTTGATCGTATATGTACAAAACAGGCAAATGACGTTGGTCAGATAAATTTTTCATTTATATTTAAATAAAACTAAATTAAAGTGCTTTGAAAACAAAATAACAAAATAGCAATTATGTTTTTCTAAAAAAGTTAAATGACATTGATACAAAAAAGAAGTCCAATGGTCGTTAGTTATAAAATAATATACTTTAAATAAGTAGTCAATGAGTATTTCCTTACTTATTTATTTATTCCTCTTCATAATAGTTAACAACGATTCACACAACTGTAAATGTTAACACTAGCACAATAACGATATACTGAGCTGTTTCAATCCTACATACAACTACCGTTTTTGAAAATTATTCCATATATTTCCACAGCTTCGCTTACACAAAAGCGTGATTTATCGTCGGTTTCTTTGATATAAGCTTCTTTTTTCAAATATATCAATAAGATTGATATCTATCCAATAGTGATCTGAAGATCTGAAAAGAATACAGCGAACAAGTCAATATTTATAGGAACTTTTTACTTGCTCGATGCTAAATTCTTTCGTTATTTCAAAATCACCTAACTACACTGTTTGAAAACTTGAAGCTATAACATGTTTAAATTTTGCATGCTGGTTTCTCTATATTGTATATATTACAGTAATAAATACATAAGTTATACGAAAATAAGTTAAAACGCCCAAAGGACTAGGAACTTAGTTACATATTGCTTTTGATCAGTGTTACGATACAAAGTTAATTTTTATTTGTTCTTGTAATAAAGTACGAGGTGAACAGTAAGTCTTTTTGATAAGTTAATCAATAGATGCCTGCTGTAAAAGATACATTTACTCCCATCAGTGCACATTGCAAGATTCTAAACATTTAACCGCGACTCACTGGAATACTGATCAAGGAAGTTTCTTTATTCCACTTCAAAGCTAAAAACCCTTCTGTATATATACTTGCAAAGTTGATAGTAAACAATGTTATCAAGTTTTCTTTTTTTATTTTATTTTTTAATAATACCGTTGTTTTTTACAATCATTCTTTGTTGTTTTTTTTCTACATAATTTAATGGCTCAATATTATCGCAATTTGTAAAAAAGACTTTTAGTTGAATTAATGTGTTCGTTATATAAACTGTATATAATGCATGAAATAATCAACACTTCTTTCACAATTATGTTTTTTCTAAAATCTTGAATCTTGTGAATTAATTTACTTATATTGCTGGTTTTCAAGTTTACGATATGTTAATTTTTCTATAAGGTATGACAGGAAGTTGAGCTTCTTTCATTAAGGAATCATTCCAGGTCGTTAGTTCTACAGTGTCGTTGTAAATGCAAGTTCAAATGATCCAAAGTTTTCAAAACATAAAAACTACGTTACGTATTTTCAATTCGATAGAAACACCTGGTAATATTGTTACGTATAAACCTGGATAATATAT